CTATGGGAGCTATATGCTATAGTCGTCCGATTTTGATGAAATTTAAAACATAATTCTGAAATATTTAACCATTACTATATCTCGAAGAACGAAACAAAAAATTAAAAAACAGCAAAGTTATAATTTTTTTTCATTTATTTTTCCGATTGTTCCTACGGGAGCTATATGCTATAGTCGACCGATTTTGATGAAATTTAAACCGTAAATCGGAAATATTTAACCATTACTATATGTCGAAGAACTAAACAAAAAATTAAAAAACGGCAAAGTTATAATTTTTTTCATTTATTTTTCCGATTGTTCCTATGGGAGCTATATGCTATAGTCGTCCGATCCGGCTCGTTCCGACTTATATACTACCTGCAATAGAAAGACAACTTTTGGGAAAGTTTCATGCAGATAGCTTTAAAACTGAGAGACTAGTTTGCATATAAACGGACGGACAGACGGACAGACGGACGGACAGACGGACGGACAGACGGACAGACGGACGGACAGACGGACGGACAGACGGACATGGCTAGATCGACTCTACTAGTGATGCTGATCAAGAATATATATACTTTATAGGGTCGGAAACGTCTCCTTCACTGCGTTGCAAACTTCTGACTGAAATTATAATACCCTCTGCAAGGGTATAAACATATTTATTTAAATGTTGTTATTTTTATACCCTTGCAGAGGGTATTATAATTTCAGTCAGAAGTTTGCAACGCAGTGAAGGAGACATCTCCGACCCTATAAAGTATATATATTCTTGATCAGCATCACTAGGCGAGTCGATCTAGCCATGTCCGTCTGTCCGTCCGTCTGTCCGTCTGTCCGTCCGTTTATATGCAAACTAGTCTCTCAGTTTTAAAGCTATTTGCATGAAACTTCCCCAAAAGTTGTCTTTCTATTGCAGGTAGTATATAAGTCGGAACGAGCCGGATCGGACGACTATAGCATATAGCTCCCGTAGGAACAATCGGAAAAATAAATGAGAAAAAATTATAACTTTGCTGTTTTTTAATTTTTTGTTTAGTTCTTCGACATATAGCAATGGATAAATATTTCAGAATTATGGTTTAAATTTCATCAAAATCGGACGACTATAGCATATAGCTCCCATAGGAACAATCGGAAAAATAATTGAAAAAAATTATAACTTTGCTGTTTTTCAATTTTTTGTTTTGTTCTTCGACATAAAGCAATGGTTAAATATTTCAGAATTATGGTAAAAATTTCATCAAAATCGGACGACTATAGCATATAGCTCCCATAGGAACAATCGGAAAAATAAATGAAAAAAAATTATAACTTTTCTGTTTTTTAATTTTTTGTTTAGCTCTTCGACATTTGGTAATGGTTAAATATTTTCGATTTACGGTTTAAATTTCATCAAAGTCGGACGTCTATAGCATATAGCTCCCATAGAAATAATAAAAATATATAAAATAACTATCTAATAATTGAGCTGCAAATCATCATAGTTTCAATGTTTTTCAGCATATACTCAAGTAAATCATAATTTAAATGTTTTCAAAAGTATTTAATTCATGCAATAGCTGCAAGGGTATATGAACTTCGGCTTGCCGAAGTTTGCTTTCTTTCTTGTTTATTTTTAATATTCGAGGCTTTGAAAAGTTTAACTAAATTTTCTTCACGTAAAACTATTACTATATTACTCGATTCTTAGAGTGACCATATTTGGGGAGCTTTTCTGAGTTTCTGCAAAATTGTTGGCTCAACCATTTTTTTCTGTGTAGGAATTTTATAGTTTGAAAACGCGACAGCAGCGTCTCTATTGTTCTGACCTATTAAACTAATAGGTTCCTTTACATACTAGGTATTTTTCAGAGTGTTCTTTGTAGATTGCTTAAGTATTTTAAAAGTAACCCTTAAAGAATAACGAATCAGTTAACCTTATTACTTGGGTCCAATTTGATTACTAGTTTTTTAGATGAGGCAACCTATTAGTGTGACAATTTCCGTTGATCCTGGAGGGCTGAGATGAAGGTCCTACTAATACTAAGTACTCGCATATCTTATGATGCAAATACTATTCCTTTATAATACGTATTTTACTTCTTTTGCCATTTACTAGTTGTTGTTGGGATTTCTTTATTCTGTGTTGCTAAGCGAAAGCAACAATGGTTCGATTTACACAGAGGCCAACCTTACCCCATACTAGGACCGACCATTTAAAACCTTTCAATAAAGTTTCTTAGTTATGAGAAATTCGTTCAGAATCTTAAAAAAGCCGTCATAGGATTGGTAGAGTTATTACCGCGTGGATATCGTTAAGCAAAAGAATGCCTTTTGAATTTAAATAACAATGCAAGAAGGCAATGTGCACAAAAGCTGGTAAGAGACAATCAACCTAACTCTAGAAGAGACTTATGACTTTCGAAAAACATGTTGAAACATTAACAAAACCATATTTTCTAAGGCAAAACTCAAGTAATCCAATTATTGTTCAAATCCATTAATATTTAAAAGGCTTACTAAGAATTGTTCAACGAGGCAGATACTTAAGTCTGTCGAAACTTTGTAGTCTCAATTTTCGTTTTATTTTAATTTGAAGTCGAAGTCGAAGTTCATTCATAGCCAGCATTGCCAATTTGTCAGTTATCTACTCATTCAAAAACTCAAGATGTGTTAGCATGTAAGTTGATATCTCAATATTGATCAATGCCCCAACGACTGAGAACGAACGCGAACAGAGGCAAAAATTACGATCGGCGGAAGAGGCAAAGGAAAATGTAAATGAACCTATTTACATAAATACGATGAATGAACTCGGTAATGATGCCCTACAAATGGATTAACCGCCGATGCCCCGATCAATGGAGCTCTCGCGTGGTTTTGTTTTTATGCTGTTCAATGCCGGCTCGCACCCAAGCCATGGTATCTGCGGCTGTCGGCACTCGTCTTGTCGTCAACCTTACTCGGACTTCATTGATAAAACTTGTTAGAGCTGTCGCTTCCTCTTTGTAAGTGATTTTTTCTCTCCCAGTCTCTGTGGCACTTTCGAGGCATTTTTTTACGCAAATCTGGTCGACCGGATCTGGTCGGCTGGTCTTTTGGCCAGTTGGTCTCCCACCAGGTTTCGATGTCATGTGACCGCAGAAGCCGAGTACACTCTTTAGCGGAAGTTGATATGGGAAATGTATTTCAGTATCACAAACTTCATACGCACTTCCCTCACAGTTGCCCAGATTGTTGATTTTAGCTGACGATGTGGTATTTATTTTTAACCATTGCGAAGTTGTACTTGGTCGCTTCCTAATACATATTCGTTGCTTAATCTTGGTTTTACAATATCTTTAAGCAGCAAAAGTGTAGAACTCAGAATACTTAGTACATGGTACTCAACCTTTTCACGGTCTGCTTTATATATTAATAGAACAAAATATTTAAATAAAGGACTTAAAGATAAACATTGTACACTTTGCTGTATCCTTTTTTTATAACCTTTTTTTTAAACGAAAAGACGTAAGTATATTGTGTTTGTTGAAAATTATGCAGAAGGCGAAGTAAAAGGTAAATTTATTCTTGGTCAGGACCAATAGCATTAATAGCATCACCGTATCAACGTCGATACGTCGGACTATTAAAGCCAGGGATTCAGATATTTCAAAATATGGCCACGCCCACTTTAACGCCCATAAATGGCGACACTCTGTCATATCATTTTGAGTCTATGAGAGGGGCGGTGTATGTTCATTCGGTCTATATCTATTAGAGACTCCCCCTTCAGAAAAACGGTTCGAGTAAATTACCTCACAAATGCTCGATTCAAATAGCTCAGCATCCAGCTTTTTATGATGAGATATTCGATTCGATCGAAGTGGAATCATAAGTTCATGGAATTATGGGATGGAATTGCTTAATTTTTCGATCGGAGCTCTGAAATAACGTGTTGAAAAAGTATTCTGCTCAAAAAAATTAGGGATATAATTTCATTACTACTTGTGATATATTTAACTTCTGTGATAGAGTTCAACACTGTCGTCTTTAAAATAATTTAAGAATGATCGCAAATTCTTTAGATTAGTATAATTATAATCTTTTATATTCAATTGTGAAATTGGGCTCCCGTTTGTATAATCAATTCACACGGATAATCAAAAATGTAGTCTTAATCCGAAGAGTTTGCAATACATTTCTAAATTATTTTAAAATAGCTTATAAAGAAACATTTGACGTGACCTATTTTAATTTTGTCCGAGTAATGTGAGCTTGATTGAATTGTTTGTTTCGGTGTTGTGAGCTACTCGAGCTGATCAGTTTTAAACGAGTTAATAGAATCATAGCTCATGACAGGAACTGTCACTCAATGACGATGGTTCCATTATGCCATGACTTATGATCCTGAAGTCATAAACAAACAGATCAAGCTTTACCTTGGAGCTGTTTATCCCGTTACCCGTAGAGTTAAAGTGTATATTGTATTCGTTAAAAAGTAGGTATCAGGTAGAAGAATGCATATCCGACCATATAAAGTATATATATTCTTGATCGGATCTAGCCATTTCCGTTTGTCTGACCGTCAGTCCGTCTGTATGAAAGTTGAGATCTCAGAAACTATAAGAGCTAGAGATGGGACTTGGCATGCAGATTCTTGTAGTTCCTAAGTAGCGCAAGTTTATGGAGCCACGCCCACTCTTACGCCCACAAATCTGAAAGTATGTACAGTCACTCTGAGACATGTTGACTCCGTGTTTGGGTCATATCTATCGGTTGACACAAAATCATTTTCAAAATCAGCTATTGTTCTTGAAGTTATATGGTTATAAAGTTCTCTGCCGCCGCTCTGCCGCCCCTCTGCCGCTGATCGGCCAATTTTCAGCCGCTGCTCTGCCGGGAATCGGTTCAGTAGTGAGACAGAACGAAAGAACTGTTAGAAGGGGTGGGGGTGCTGCATGCACCCAGCTTTTTGTGTTGGCCGAAATGAGACAAATATGTACCTACACATATTTAGCTTGTACTCTTGTATATTTTAACGCAAATTTGGAAAACAGATCTTTTTTTTGCAATTTTATTAATGCCCATGCTAAAAGTTGGAATACATAAGTGCATACATATGTTAAATACCAGATATTATAATATATGTGTGTGTGTCTTCCTTGTGTGTGGGTGCGCAGGCTCTGGTTAGATTTGGCTGCTGCTGATGCTGCTGCTCCTTAAAAATGGGACATCCGCATCCTCTGACTAAGCCGCAAGGGTATCGGGCTGGACGTCATCCATCTTGGGGGGAACAGCTCCTGGGGCCGGACCCATGGGTTCCGCGTTCGCGGAGAGGGGCACGAAGGGCGGAGAAGATGCCGGCAAGGGATTGGGATTGGCCACTGGCCCCGGGCTGGGACCCGGACCTGGGTCGGCTACCGGACTGGCCACGGGCTCCGGATCCGCTTTTGGGCTGGGATCGGCAGCTGGACTCGGGTCTGGAACTGGCTCTGGCAGTGGAGAGCCGTAGGCGCTGTGCAGCACCACAAACGTTGCCACTAACAGAATTACGGCGGCTACTTTTAGTTTGTCAAGTGTTGGCGGTATCGAGAGGAGTACTTACCACTGGCGAATGCGAAAACGGTTATAAGTTTCATGGTCCTCGAACTGAACTGAAGGCTGCTGGCACCAGACCAGCTTTTATAGGTCGGCAGCCACTGGCACAAGGTACAGCAATCAAACCGCAATGATAATCAATTAGACCCATTGCTCGCCAGGCCCACTGATATGGTTTGTTTTGCACTGCTTTGACAGGCATAAAGCATAACTTTATGGCTGGAACGACTCGGGCCTAGACATATAATATAGTTGTTCGATCCGGCTCGTTCCGATTTACATACTACCGGCAAGAAATAGACAACTTTTCGGAAAGTTTCATGCAGATAGCTTCAAAGCTGAGAGACTAGTTTGCATTGAAACGGACGGACATGGCTTAAACGAAATGTCAGGTGATGCTGATCAAGAATATATATACTTAATATGGTGTTACAAAGATTTGGGTGAAATTGTATTACCAGGTAAGGGTATAACAATTTGAAATATTGTAGTTTGGTGCAACAAGACGTACTTTTTATACCCTTGCAGCTAATAAAAAATAAAATATTGTTTTTATTGATTTGTATCCGAAGTGGAGGGTGGGACCAGACAGACAGGTGTGGCAAAATCGACATCCCCCTTTTATCCTCTGATGCATGACTTAACAGAATTTAGACTAAAATCAAACGAAGTTCATAAAATAATAACAAGTTTTTCATTGTTTGTACTATCTTCTCAGTTGTTGTGATTTTAAACGTTTCTCGGTACTTCGTTCATTTTAGAGCTTAACAGAAATTGAGTTAAAAGATAATAAACATTTTTGTAGATTACTTGTGGTATGGCTTCCCAACTTTGCTTTTAAAAAGTCACTTTGTTTACTGCCATTTGCTTATGGAGCGCATTTCTCAAAAACAGGGGGGTTGAGAGAAACTGACACCCTCGTGCTGCTAATCTTCTGATTTATTATTTTGCTTTAGTAGTGACAAACAAGCAAAAAATTTTGCAAGCAGCCGGCTTTTTGATTTTATCGGGCTATTTAATCTATCGTTTGATTGATTCGGTATAAATAACACAAAATGTGCTGATGTAAAAGTCATTTTCTTACTTATATGTTCTACATTTTAATGTATTTCAATTCTTTCGTTTTACTTCTTAATGTAACACTTTTATAATGTGTACTTTTTAAATTTTCGGTTTTGTCTTTTGACGGTGAGTCGTCCCTTATTTCGATAGCGTTACATCAAAAACACGGGAATAGCCTGGGACCATAGATAATTAAATAAACATAGTATAAAAACTTAAACTTTACTATTGCAATATAAATATCACATATATAAATAATAACACGGTTTTATTTTGTTGCTTGCAAAGTAAGCGTCTGACTTTATTTATTTATTAAAACAACTGACCATTACAATAATATTTTAAAGCATTTCGTTTTTTTCATATGTCCCCAGATATTTTATATGGTTTTTTGTGGGTTGAATCCTTCTTTATCCATGGGTATTCGTTGTTTTTTTCTTCAGCTGATCCATATATTCTATTTCCATCAAGGCTCAAAATGGCAATGACAAACACTAAAGGGTTGTACAAAATGTAGTTTAAAAGCCATCTAATAAGTTTGTTAGTTGGTTTCACTGTACACTTACCCATTCCGGCAAGAAGTTGCGTTAAGTGCATTGTGACTGTGCAGTTGCCTTGCAATAATGAATGACTTGAATAGTTGGCAGTTTATAACGCATTTTTAACTCGCCAATATGGGCATTTAGGCATAGAATCAATTAACAACACAACAAACTTCGCAGATCGTAAATATAAATTAATTGCTTTGATTCGCGAGGAAGACTTTGATTGACAAGTGCTCAGTTTTCTACTCTGGCTTTTGAATAATAATTTCCCTTTCTGGGAAGAAGGGGTTTTTTCGAACTATATAATTAACGCGCTTTTAAAATTTGAAAATACGATGAGCTTAAAGTTACAAAGCATACAAGTGACTTTTTTATTTTTGTTCTTTTTGCATAAAAATAACAAGAAAGGAAGCAAACTTCGGCAAGTAAAAGTGTATATGCCGTTGCAGCTATTGTAAAAATAACACACCTTTAAAACATCTAAATTTCGAATTATATAAGTACCCGTTAAAACCCATTAAAGCTATGATGATTTTCACCCCAATTCTTCAATCGTTTCTATGGAAGCTATATATTATCATATATTAGAATAAAATTATAAAACCATTCATATGTCCAAAAGAAATACTAAAAAAATTGAAAAAAGAGAAGTTAAAATTTGTTCTAAGTTTATTTTTATACCCTTGCAGAGGGTATTATAATTTCAGTCAGAAGTTTGCAACGCAGTGAAGGAGACATCTCCGACCCTATAAAGTATATATATTCTTGATCAGCATCACAAGGCGAGTCGATCTAGCCATGTCCGTCCGTCTGTTCGTCCGTTTCTACGCAAACTAGTCTCTCAGTTTTAAAGCTATCTGCATGAAACTTCCCCAAAAGTCGGAACGAGCCGGATCGGACAACTATAACATATAGCTCCCATAGGAGCAATCGGAAAAATAAAGGAATGATTAAATATTTCAGAATTACGTTTTAAATTTCATCAAAATCCGGCTCGTTCCGTCTTATACTACCTGCAATAGAAAGACAACTTTTGGGAAAATTTCATGCAGATAGCTTTAAAACTGCGAACCTAGTTTGCGTAGAAACGGGCGGACAGATTCCTTGTGATGCTGATCAAGAATATATATAATTTATAGAATCGGAAATGTCTCCTGCATTCTAACTGAAATTACAATATCCTCTGCAATGTAATACAAAACCACTCATAATCGCCTTGAAGGTATTATTGACTTAGGCTTTCTTACAAAGGCTATACTTCTTTTTTATAAAATCAAACGGATTTAAGTAAACAGTTTTAAATTCATTCTATTATATAGTCGATTCTGTTTTGTTAAATGGGAAATATATTATATTTAGACGCGTTAAACGTATTGTAAAAGGGTATTTTGTATTTGTAGGTAACAAGGAGATGAAAGCGTTTCCGGTCATATAAAGTATATATTTTGTTGATCAGGATTACCAGCCGTTTTGATGACGAGTTGTCTGTCCGTCCGTATAGATCTCGGAAACTATAAAAGCTAGACGTTTGGGATTCGACATTCAGATTCTACGCGCATGTTTATTTCATAACGTGTTTCGGTCATACTTATGGGTTGGCACTAAATGTTCAAATGCTGCCAATGCAGCTTCACAGAAGGCGACACCTAAGCCCCGATTCTTTTGAGGGGGAATTTGAAATTTTTTGGCTGAGTAACGAATATCTAATAGTCGGGGATTTCGACTTGAGCTTTATTTTTTGTTGTTGCTCAAAGTAGCGTTATACCGTTTTGGTTTCCATTTATGGTAACAGTTTAAAAATTAAAAAAAGTTTTTAAATATATTTTTATATAATGAATATATTAATGGGATAAAAATTGTTTGTTGTTAACTAAACCTACTTAAGAATAAAATAAAAGACAGCTTGAATTGTTCAAATAAATTGGCAACTGTTACAAAAATTAAAAAAAGTTGTTAAATATATATGTTTGAAAAATATTGTCTATTGTTTACTTAACCTACTAAAGAATAAATTAAAAGACAGCTTAATTGGTTCAAATAAAATGTCAACTGTTACAAATTTGAAATGTTTCAGTATTACATTTTTTAAATCGCATTACACATTTCATTACCCTCACAATACGTTTGATTTGTTTCAAAGTAGTTAGAAAACTGAACGTCGTTATGAAAATCCAGTTCATAATTGGTATGGTTTTAGCCATCATAAATACATGCATTAAGTTAATTATTTTTCGTTTTCTTCAAGTCTCAATTTTATTTGGGATAAGCGTTGCAGAAGATGAATGCCTAGCTTGTGATTGGAAAAGTGAACTTCATTGTGGAACGGTTGCTGATGGCACTTGTGTCTTTACTGCATTAAACCGATGCCAAGTTGAGCGTGTTTCTTGCCTTCGGGAGCAAAAAGAATTACCACGTAAGACAAAATAACTAAGAGGCTTAAAGCTATTTGTTTGTAAAATAATTAAGATTTATTCATCTTTACAGCATTTACCCAAATTAAGAAAGGAAAATGTCCAAAGGGTAAACCGAAGTGCATCAAACCTTGAATTACATTTAAATAACTACGTTACTCTGTAGATACTTTATTAAGCTTTTAAATAACTAACTACGTATTTTATTTTTTAGTGTGCGTAGTGTACATTTCGTTATTTTTATACCCTTGCAGAGGGTTACCAATTTCAGTCAGAGGTTTTTAACGCAGTGAAGGAGACATTTCCCACCCTACAAATTATAACTTTGCCGCTTTTTAATTTTGTTGTTGCTCTATAGATATACAGTAATGGTCTTTTATTTTAGAATTACGAATTACATTTTATCAACATCGGAGGACTATATCATATAGCATCAATAGAAACAATCGGAATACTACAAAAACTTCTCTAAATGTCTTTTTTTTTGTAATTCTGAATGGTTTATTATTTCTGAATTACGTTTTTAATTTTATTAAAACCCCACAACGATTTAGCTGCTGAATGACTTGTCGAAGTCTGCTTTCATTCTTGTTATTAACTTAAAAGTCCGTAACATGTAATTTGATTACTTAAAAAAGTCGATCCAACTTTAATAACTCAAATTTCTCCACATCAAAACTCAATAGATAAAACTGTTTTTATCTACTTTCTGTTTTGTGGTTAAAAAACAAAAATAAAAGTAAATAAGTTTTAAAGCAGCCTTAGGAACATTCATTGGACTTTTGTTTTTTTTAATTACATTTCTTTAGCGAGCAGACTGACGTCCTAAGATCTTTCAGTTCTGACTTTAATTTTTTGTACTTCGCAATAAGCCTGTGAACTCTTTGCCTGAAGTTGCTGCAATCCTGAATTTGTTTTAGCAGCTCGGATTGCAATTTTAGGTTGACCTTTCTCTGCATATATATAATGTTTTTGTAGCGGTTTGCTCTCTCGAAGCTTTTCATGCAAAATTCTTTTGAACTGAAGTTTGATTCTCTGACCTGCAAAGTAGTATCTGAAAATGAGCAGTTAATTCAATAAAGGTTTTAGAAATTTCAGAGCGAATATTAATGGGTTAGTTACCAGCGAGACTTTTAAAGTCCTTCAGCACCGAAAGGAATTCGTCTTTTGCTTGCATTTTTTCGCTGGAAACCAACTGCACACAAATCTTCACTGAAGACACCGACAAATAGGTTAAAATATATTCATAAAACTCCCAAAAAGAAACACCACCAAAATGTGTAAAAATAGGCTAATCTCGTTCTTAAAATGTAGGTCATTTTGTTTTATGGGTGTATGCTTCACGTCAATGGTTTGCTTACCAAAAAGGCACAATACAGTGCATTTATACGATCCGTTCATCTTGGCGCTAGGTGTATCAGATGAATATGCCGTTGGTCGTTCCGGCTTATTATATTCACTACATTAAAGCTTTGCATTTTAATCTGTTTCTTTTCGGAGGCTAATATATACATTCTTTACCAAATTTATTTGTACACTATATATTTATAAATAAAAAGTAAAGCAATTTGTTCAAGGTGTAACGGATTTTTTATTTAGCACTGAAAACAAAATCAAATAACCCTCCTTTTCAAAATGCCTGTTAGGCACCAGGCGGAAAACCGTCGTTGCCCATTAAGCTTTCCAATAATACATGCTAAAAATATACTTCTTTTCAATCAATGATGATTAATGATGTGTACTAAGTTGGTGCAAAATTATGGTTTTTTTTCTATAAAGTACTTATAATCTTAAACGCATTTTTTAGTTTTTAAAAATGAAGAATTTTGTTCTGAAAGCAATAAATTTATTGCAGTTAAGAATGAAGAACGACTGCAAAATCTAGGAAATTCAAAGCTAGAGCACGAATATAAAGTTGTATCTACTAATCTATCATATATTACCACACTTATGATCTTAAAACTATAATTATAACTCATTACTTAGTGTATGGTACAACACTTTGAATTTTGTTCATTTAAGACTATTTTATTACTTTTAAGAATCGGGAAAATTAATATAAACAAGAAAGGAAGTAAACTTCGGCAAGCCGAGGGTCATATACCCTTGCAGCTATTGCAAAAATTAAATATTCTTGAAAAATTAAAATTATCATTTACTAGCGTAATGTCTAAAAAGCTATGATGATTTGCAGCTTAATTATTGGATAGTTCCTATGGCAGCTATATGATAACATTTTTCGATTTTAATAAAATTAAAAGCGTAATTCAGAACTGTCAACTAATTACTAAGACAAAAAGAATTTTAAAAAATATATACAAATAAGAAAAGTTACATTTTTTTTATATTTTTATTGTTTCCATGGAAGCTTTATGTTATAGTCGTCCGATCTAGTATATATATACTTTATAGGGTCGGAAATGTCTCCTTTACTGCGTAGCAAACTTCTGACTGAAATTTGTATAACCTCCAAGGGTATAAAAAGTTAATGTTATTCTTCATCTCTCGGGCTTAATCTCTTTACGTTATATAACATTTATGAAATTAGTTTAAAAGCAAATGTATACCGGTCACCACGCTGCTCTCTTTCGTCAAAACAAATAACTTTTCCAATATTTGTAAAGCTTTTACTGCTTTCCATGAGCCGGGTGGAGCTGCAGTTTTGTCTGAGAGCTATGCATTTCGTTTCCAAGTTTATTCATAAAACTAGTCCCACAATTTTCTCTACCGCCTTCTCATTTTCTTGACAGAACTTCTTAATTCTTCGAAAGCAATAATATACCGTTTGACTTGTAAAAATTATACGTATTAAATGAAAATGCTTGAGAAATCTTATGGGAGTGTAAATAAATTAGTCTTTGTTAAAGAAACAGTTATTGAGCATCGGAATGAGTTCCAGTTGAGTTCATTTAAAAGCCTAAAATCAAATTACAAATATATCTAGTTATATGTTCCTTGTATTTGTTACATTGATTAATTGATATTAAATAGAGGTTAATTTTTTTTTAAGTCGAATTTAAATTGAAAGAGCTAATTTCTTGCCGTGCGTGTGCAAAAGATTCGAACGAGATTGAAATCCAAAGTTAATAAGCCGCTTTAAGTTAAGATTAAACTAACATTAGTTGAAAAAAAACGATCGGTTGCCAGTGCAAAGTTTAAGCGCATTATCCAAAAATTTGTTGGCATTAACATATTATTTAGCTATGAAACTGCGAGGAGGAAAACAAAATCAAAAAATGACCCAAAATTAAATCAAGTCTAGTTTGTTCTTAAGCCAGTATGCATTTTTATAGAACAAAATAAATAATACAAAAACCGAAATATAAAAATATATATTATAATAACCAACCAAGGTTATGAGCTTAAAAAGCTTATAAATATTAATTTATGTTTTTATTTACAGGTCAATAAAAAAATACGAAATATATATATGAAGTAATTTTTATACACATATAACACATTAAACTTAAAGAAAATGGTTTGTAACTTTATATAGAGATAAAAAATTAATTATGTGTACCAGCCAAACTATTTAGTTCGTCATTTACGTTTTACTCACAATTTTGGAATAAATCGATAAACAGTACTTTTTAATAAACTTTATTTAAATACTTGGTTTGATTTAAATCTAGATAGTTTCAGACTTGGTTTAAGTAGTACAAAAACGTTATCAAATTAGAACTTTGGCGTAAAACGTTCTTAAAATAAGAAATTCTGTCCGAACTTAAACTCCTTTAAAGCAGGAATTTTCCTGAAGGCTGTTTAAAGTCTACTTTGATTTTAGATTCAGTTGTAATTTTTCATTTTTGTGTTCTGTAAAATAATAAAGTCTAGTGCGACCCACTTTCAGATACCTGCAAAGCAATGTCAAAATAAATACGCCTCCAGCAGATTGTGCCAATTGCTATTTTCGAACTGTTTCTATAATAGTTGTTTTTGGTATAAAAACTGTGGTTACTCTACACAGACTTTGTTTGCAGCCATAAAGTGTTACACCAAAATGTGGATATAATTGTATATGTTATTCTATTTGGTATTCTGGATGTTATAAAGTGAAATCGAAGACGTTAAGACCAGAGGTCAGCAAGTTATGAAGGCTAAGCGACATACATATATCATTTTGTGAGATACTTTGACGCCTTTTTCCACTTGACCTGGCCAAGGAGAGGCCACCTGGCGACGATACGACCAGGAAGACGACGGAAGTCCTCCCGTCCCTCCGGCCCTCGGCCCAAGCTCCTGTTTTTGTCTCTGAGCCAACTGCTGAGGCCACCTGTTTGGCTCTTCAAGCTGCCTTTCTTCAGCTGCCGAAAGTTTCGTTTTTTATTTGGTTTGCTTTAACAAGGTGTCTGTGTTGTTGCTGGCTTTTAAGCCGCTCGTGGCACTTGCCACTTGAGCAGACGCCGCAATCGGAAGTCCTTGTTTATGATATGGATACTGGGGCCTCGGCCAGCTGATATCAGCTGCCATGCTGCAGGAGGTTGATTTATGGCCACCAATTGCGGAGATCTCGATTGGGGTAGTATAGAGTATGTTCAGGACGTTAATCGAAACTAGTCTGATTAGTAGAACAGAGAGATCGAATCAATTCGAAGTCCAATCATTTCGGTATTTCTGAAGCGGCTTTAACAGGCAACCCATTCACACAAAGCATTCTGTCTCTGGGTGCCAGCAAATTGATAGATTGCATAAAAGTTCTGGTCTAGTCTTACGCTTCTGCCTTTGTTTTTCCGGCTCTTTTCGTTTTTTCTTGTGATTTACAGCTACTATTTATAGGAAATGTGCCTAGCACGCAAAAAGTTGGTAGAGAAGGGGCAGTGGCAATGGCAACCCACTTGACAGACTGCGCTGCCAGCCGGAGCAGATGCAGATGCACTGACCACCACAAGTGCACCTCCAGACGAGTGTGTTCGAGGCGGTTCGGGCTCCAACATTTTTGTTTACAATTGGAGCACGTCTGTTTTGGCTGAGGCAGCTGCTGACCATTGGCCATTAACTTGCAGCCGGCTACGCTGAGTCTGCAATTAAAGCTGCCTGCTACAGGCTGAATCGACTTCGAGAGAACCTCAAAAGTTTCATGTTTAAAAAATAGGGAACAAATTCAATGGCAATTGCTTATATACATGTTCCATCGCAGTTTTGTAGGTCTTACTGTATTTGAGCTGGGCAAACATTCCGTGTGTTACCGCGCACCGACTTCTGTAACTGGAGCATATAGCTTCTCCGTCTTCATCTCGATACTCGACTCCCAGTTTTCTGCCGCTGATCTGGAGGGGAGCAAAGAACCTCCCAACTGGGCCAGTGTATACTTTTCACACGGTTGTGTGAAAAGCGTGCTATGATACCATTTTCATGTCCACATTGTTCCCGACAAGTGTTTAACCGTTGGGCTGAGAAATGCCATTTAGCAACAAGATGTAATTTTGTACCCTGCAGTCGAGGCAAACTTTGATACCCTTATGGCTTATTACAACAGGGTCAGTCAAGATCACTGAAAGGTCATTGATTTACTGACTTAGGTTTATTGCCACGATTTCACACCTTCAACAGCTCTTTTTATGCGAGTTGCTAACTGCTTCAGTGTGTTTTAATTTGCTAAACGACGTCCTCTAATTAGGGTCTGATTCATGAATTCTTTATTACTGCCCCGGGTCAGTTGCATAAGGTTCCGTGCTCAAGCTAATTAAATCACTCTTAAAAGGCAAACAAATAAAATTGGTTCCGCATTTTTTGTCCATATTTTTCACAACTCCGCAAATCCATCACCGACAGCACTCATCATCTTCATCTATCAAAATCTAATGAACTTAACTTTTCTCGTAAATTATCGAGCAAGCATATATATATCGCTGTTCGGTTCGTTGATGATAATTTCACTTTCATTAATAATTTTTGAACTTTTTATTTTGCCATAATTAATTTTTCAACTTTTGCTTTTCGTCGTTGTTTCTGTTATGTTTGAACCAAATAAATCGAGGCAGAAAACCCAACCACACAATCCAAGACATTGTCGGAATTGAATATTTCGTTTGACGCTTGAACTTTCTTTTTATTCATTTGGACTTGGCCAAAGTTCGGGGCATTCATGTTAATTGTGTTTAAAGTTGAAGGTACATCATTTCGCTATTGGAGGAGCTAGAAAAAAAACGTCTAAAATTTATTCATATGGTTCTGTAGCTACTAAGTACGTATAAAAATCATTATTAAATGGAAAAGTAATAAAAATACCTTAAAAATGTAGAGTACTGTGGTATACACGTAATCTAGAAGTAGTAACCCACCAGAAATTTGTATCATTGGCTTGGGGGTAAATTCGAGTTTATTACGTCATCAATTTGCATCCTTTTTTTGTTGTCAAGAATAAATTAAGTTAATTTACAATAATCAAAAAAGACCATTGTAAAAAATATATAACGGTGGGGTTATCCTCTTCTAGAGAACTCGAGTTTTTTATACTAAAAATAATAAAATCAAATTACATATTCTTCGCAAAAATGTTCCATAATCTTCTTAAGAATCAGCAGTTTTCTGTGATACCCAGCTTTTTATGCTGAGTTTTGTTATTTTATATTTTAAACAGGTAAAATAAGTTTGTGGTAAATATAATTGCACATTTGGCATTGACACTCATGTAAGAAAAAAAAGTCACCCAGTCGGAAAAAATAAATCTTCTGTAATAATAGTTGTTCCATCAAAATCCCTTTTTTCTGATGTTCTAATAACAAATTTTAATTAAAAAAAAAAATAAAATTCAATGTTTTCATTTTTTGCCGCTTTAAAGATTTTAACTGCTTGTTAGACTGGCTTAAAAATTTAAATCGACGAAATTCTCCAGAGATCAAATCTTGATTTTCCGGCGCAAATGGACATCCTAATTCAAATATTATACTGAAAATTGTTCCTATGGTACCATTTTTTCAAAAGTAAAAATACTGTTTTTCCCCTGTTTATATTTTATCTCGATAGCTTATATTAATAGACATAGATCATTCTTAAAATATCTTCTTATATAGATGCTAGTGTTGGATAATTGCTAAAACCGAAGGTCCGACAACATAAATTAATTGTATAACTTTTTCTTGAAGATGAAAGATCAAATAATTCATGGGATAATCATTATAACTTTACTGTTTTTAAACTTATTTGGATAAAAATCAATAGTCGTTTTGATTAAATTTCATTTTTGTAATAGCTGCAATGGCTGGCTTTTAGTCTTATTTTCCTTAAAACTTACAAAAATGGGTACTTTAAAATCAGTACAAGAATCCTATTATTTGTAAAAGCTTGATGCATAAAGAACATATTGTTTTAACACAGGCCTCGCAATCCGAAAACTCTTTGCCGCGCCTCGCCCTTCAACTTTGGTCATTTAGCTCTGCCCAAGCCCATCCGGCGTCGCTCGACCGCGACTGCGACCCTCCTTCCCCTCGTCACCAATCCCCAAAGCAGATTTTCACGAGGAAACCCACATGTCGGCAACGTCTGATTGGAAACCAGTTTTCCTCTCTCAGAAGTGAGCAAACGGCAGACTGAACTAGTTCGCCCGCTCGCTCGCCCACGGACGACACTTCGAGAACCAACCCACACTGGCTCACTTATAAGCCATTAACTTTTCCCCAAAGTCACAAGTATCGTATTTATTTTATTTACTTTACTATTCTCTGAATTTCATTGGAGCACAACAAGGATTTGGGAGTTCTTATGAATGAATATATTTAGGGCATTAAAATTCGCTTGCCGATAGGATGTTATCGATCCACACAAGTTGTTTGTAAAAATGAAATTATACAGTAAAATGTTTTAAATTTGGAACAGGAAAAAATTACTCATGACTTAAAATGTAAACATGCTTAAAGTACGATGGTTTTTCTCTCAGTGTGGTGAGGGCGAGAGAGCGAGCACCCACACACATACAGCTTAGTTCGATTCGCTCTCACGCTCACTAGCCATAGCCATGGACACTTGCTCTCTGCGCTCTTTCTCTCGGCTGAATAGCACTCTCAGCGGGTTAGACCTCGCAGACGCTAGCGTTGCGGCTTCATTGCGTCTGTTAGTCTTAACATTTCTGTTATGTTGCTGTTGTTGGCCGCGGAGCAGCACATGTTGTATCTGTGAGTTTGAGTATCTGACGCGTTTATTTAAGCGGGTATGTCATTGCGCCTGTAAACACTGTCGAATGCGGTCTTCGCCGCTTCTCCGCTCCGAAACAAAAATTCTTAGTGAACTAGCTTACGGAAGCGAGCTCATCTGAACGAAAGTGAATGTGTGCCCGGGTCAAAAATAAAGTTGGTCCGCAAGCCAATACATATGTGAACAAATTCAGAAGAAATCGAAAGAGCATGGCTAAATAAAAATCACTGCACCTGTCTTCCAAGTGCACCTGTTTCCCCCAGTGCCGCCGCCCTTCGCAGGGAACACTTACGCACCTTTGGCAGTGGATACGCGAAAGAATGCACCGTGCATGCAAAGTACAGCGGAGTGCTTGATAACTTAATACCAGCCAAAGGGCCGTAAAAACAAACGAGGCAGAAACAGAAACAGAAACAAAAACAGTGCGACCTTGTCTTGTCTTCGCCGGACTTCGTTTTCCGCCATCCATCAAAGTCGGACTGAAAAGTCTTGGGATTACACATAAAACTCATTTGGATACAAATCTCTTTTGCTTTGAGGTAAGCCCCAGATCTGTGGATCTCGATCACTATGGTCCATTGAGTGTAGCCCAGTTTTCGCTGCGGCCCAATAATCGAATCCTCTAGAAAGTTTGATTGGGAAACAAGATTTAGTTTTGTTCGATCGGCTTTCTTCGCACTTTGGTGAAAGTCAAGAATTTTCTCAGCCAATTTGCCTGTTACTTAATTATTGAATTGCGATAAGATCTCTGATCTGGGGTTGATTGAACCCCGCAACGGAAACCAAAATGTCAACTCATTTCCTCCTTCCACGAGGTCATCTAGGCCATTATAATGCAAATACGGACTTTCTGAACATCATTGTCCGGTTCTTGGACTCAGAAAACTGCACAACCGTAAATCTGCAATTCAACAATTTGCTCAGCATTTTTATGCAATATTTCAAATTTGCATTAGAGGCCACACATGTGGCAAAAAACTTCCCAGCTTTTTGAAATGCATACAAATTTCATGTATATTGCTCGGTCGAGGGATTTCCTTAATTAGTCTGAGTTGGCTTGTTGGTCGACTATAAATGACACAAAAATAGCGTCTCGACTTTAACTTTAATTTGATGAATATCTCTCAGATTTGTGTGAGATATTCGGTCTCTGTTGTTTTGAACACAAATGAATATTATCGCTCAGTTTAACAATGACGCTCATTTGTGTGCTCCGATTTGAAAATCAAAAATCGGATAAACAAGTTTATCATTTGATTTGGCCTTTGAGCCAGGGCTGCTAATTAATGCGAATTTAACGAGTAAATCTGAGTTCCTGAGAAACAATAAAATATTTGTATTTCCCACCAGAAGCAACGACAATGTTTATAAGCTGGGAAATTCGTGCAATGTGGTTTGGCTTGGTTATAAAACATTCAACACGAGGTGTCTTAGCTTCACTTTCTCGCAATTTTACTGACATTTTCATCGTAACCACAACTATTGATTTTGAATTGCTTTCCTGCCCTCTCAACGTATGTAAGCATAGTTTCGTTTTGTTATTGATGAGCAGAAGACTTTACATACCAAGCACGTATCTTTGTCATTGTTAGTTTCTATTTGTCTAATTAAAGAGGAAATGCACAAGAACAATGTCCCTTAGAGGGCTAAGTCTGCTGCGCTCCGATCCCGAGTTTTGGAGGCTACGTGAGAAAGAAAGTGGCTTAAGGGACTACCTGCTCGTGTGCTACTGTCAAGTGCGGTTTCCTTCGGCGTAGCGCCTTTTTCGTTATTGGTAACAGGTAGGACTCTAAAATCCGTGCTTTGCTGATTTTTGGTCTGTTGGGTTGGAGATACGTGAGCCATGAGAGGATATTCGCCTCATTTAGTCTTCATATTGCACGTACTTACCATGACCGTTTTACAAGGAAGCAGCTCACTGAGGTCCATTGATTAAAAGATGAAGGAGAGGTTGGGGGGAAATTGAGTGTGGTCCGGCAAAAGGGTCATATATCTTTCGCTGGAGATCTTGGCATTTGGAGTTGACTGAGATGTGTACATATTAATTCGTACTAAGCACTTTGTGTTAGGAAGGCGATTCTATTTAGATTTCTTCTGAAAACTTGAGTGGTTACGTTGTTTTTTTCCATATTTCTAGTTTTATGGTGCTCATCGCAAAGAATAGACGACCAACTATTTGAATAATTCCTTTCGGTAATTTATTACTGGCTTTATGGATTGAGGAAGTTGCTTTTTTCCATATACAGTTAGGTACACTAAAAGTCTATTGTGTCTCCATCTTACCAAAGACACACCCGCGCACTCAGTGAAAAGACAATTGACAAGCAAATTGTGAAATCGACATTAAATTGTGCCCCCGAACTTAAGCTTACTGTATCTGAGAGGTACTTTTACTACGACAAAAAAAGAAACATTTAATTATTTATGATATTTATCACATACTGAGATTTATATTACATTTTATTATTTTTTTCACATATGAAATTAAAGCAATACAATACCCCGACTATACACTTAAGAATTATCTCGCTTTATCATAACCAAATGAATTGCAATAGGTTAAGTAGTTTTCAACACCTTATTATTGAGCTTATACTGAGAAATATTCCGAATCGGGGTTTTTCTGTTTCTTTTATTATGGATTGCATGATCGTTTAACGTTTCGTGCTAACTTGACTGAATTACAGTGAAAACCATACTGATTCAGCGACTTTAAAATTCAATAAACAAGTTAGGCAGCGAAATGAAAAAATTACCTGCGACTTCTTTATTTTAAATTATGGCACAATGTCAGCAAAAACTGTTATTGGCGCTTTTACTTGCCGTTTTTCTGTCTGCTGCTCTCCACTGATATTTTTTGTAAACATTTTGTTTTGTTAACAATTAATTAACAAAAACTAAAGTACACAAACACTGTTAACTTACTGTTTGTTTGCGCTCGGCAACCCGTTAAACAATTTAAGCGCCTCATGGCAACTAGTTTTCTCTGAAACTACAGTGTATAATTCGAAACGATTAGACATAGACGAATTGGTGCTAAGTGATTCGCTATTGATTTGACTTTCAGTGAAACTAGCATTAGTCATTTGGACACTGACACAAAATGAAAAAGTAAAAACAAATATCTGAATGTTTAACTACCAATTATATAATTCATATTTAAATAATATATTAAATCCTAAATTAAATACAATGCATATTAAGTTGCATGAAATAGATTTTTAAATAGTTCCTATTTGGAGGAACTAAGTCTTTTTTATCAGTGTAGCGGACTTGAATTTTAGATAAATAACTGCGAAATCAGCGTGAGGAATGTGCCGGAGCAATGGAAATCAGTCTTCAAGAAGAAAGCTAACCTCTCGTGATACAAAGATCAGAAGTTGAGAGAACCCCTTGAATTTTTTTATGATTGCAATCTTAACTTTTCCTTTATTAGGTTATCTACCTTGTTTTACGACCAAATATGCTTATCTCGAACTTTCGAAGTGTGGTTTCCTCCCTTCGCTTTTCTCACTTTTCACAGCAGATCGGATGATCCATTAAGGTCAGTTGCAAGTCGCTTCTGTTAACCTTTCATTTTGGGCTAAGGCCTCGTAAAACTTTCGTTCGACCGTAAGTCTAACTGCGAAATGTATCTCGCAGTGGGCAGCCTATCGGGTGGGAAATCGTTCCCGAGTCTTACTTTCCCCGCCGGATGGAAACACGTGCTTCCAGTCGCCCACCTCAGAATGCGACAAATTCTCACGCCAAAAAGAAGTTTGCTTCTGTGGCTCGCCTTTGTTAATGTACATGTACTAAACAAGCTGGCGCAAACCGCAAAATGCAACCGCAAGTGAGTTTGTTGCCGTTGATTTTGCAGTTGCTGGCTGCTTCCCAGGTCCTATCCTGGGACAGGAATTTGCTGCTTGCTTGGTCACTGGCTTAATGCACTGTGGGAACGCGGAATGTTGGGACTTCGAGTTGATTGACTCACTCCTGGACAAGCTGGGATTCATTAACTGCCCCTGCAGATGCAACTTTGCTCGCCCCTAAATCGCTCGTAGCCCCCCGATTCCCAGCTGGTTTCGACTACCTGGTAATCAATATGCGTGTAGCGCCCAATGGTCGGGGGCAAAAAGAGGGCTAAAGGCCGGAAACTCACCAGCTTAACGCCGGGAAAGGATTAAAAAACAACTCTGTACTGAGCTGAATAAAAAGCCCAATCGCTTATCCACTTTGAAGCTCTATTTGAGCGTTATTAATTTGGGTACATCAGTCAGTGCCATGGCGGCCAAATGAAAAACACTTGGCACAAAAATGCCGAGCCGAAAAAAAACTACACTCTCGTCGCAATTGCATTTTTTGTCCACTGTACACTGTCCACTGTCCACTGCCCCTCTGCCGCCACTAGTCATGATAAATTAACCAACTTAAAGGCCGTTACTGTCGCTCCAGCCGGGCACTTGTCCACTGCTGCCGAATGACAAGTTGACGTCTTCGTTGGCACACCATATACGCTCCAGAAAGTGGGGCTGCAGGAAGCCCCAGGCGACTTAATTGTGCGATTGCAAATTTGTGTGTGAATCGTTTTGGCAACTTCTCTGACCCTTTGCTTTTTTCGGATCTTCTTTGGACCGACGTTGGCCCGTTTTCCGAGATTGTGGCCGGCACTGGGAGTACTTTGGGCAGGCCAATGGCAACGATATCCACCAGCACTTTGGCGGTATCAGCTCTCAGCTCGCGGATACAGTGCCTTGAACCTCAGCAAGCTGCTGCTCCACAAATGGATGTGAATCACCCCCATGAACACAAGTGCTTGTATGTATATTCATTATGCTTATCGTGCATCGGCTGCCACAGATCCATCTTGCAGCCGCCTCCCCCGTAAGATAAACCATGTATCGCAGAGGCTTCTAAATATAGAGGGCTGCTTAAAATTAAAGCAACTTAATCGACACTCCGACGAACAAAACAAAGGGGGAATGCAGCTCAGCAAAGAACATGAGAAATATGGAAAATATTAATTGTCGGCGCTTAAGTGGAAGCCTCTTTCAGCTTTCAGCATATTTATGGAGTTTGCCTGAAAGAGTGACGTCGAAAATAAATATGGCAGCCCCCGGTTGAGCACCCGATTCCTCCCGCAGCTCATAACTTCATTAGGGCGAGGCACGTTGCAGTGGCATGTTGGTTTTTTAGGGCCAAGCGCATTTAATTATTAGTTTAAGGCTGTTGTGACTGGGAAGGCATTAGTGGGAAAACGCTTCAAGTGTGGGACAATAAATTGTGTAGTATTTTTAGCTGATTTATCCGAAACAAATGCGCAATTTGTATGGAAATAATTCGTTTTTGTGCCGGTCGCATCAAAGACAATAATCGACCTTGCCGTTTCAACTGGGAAAAAGGCCTTTGTATAAAACTAAATGGGTTTGCCATTTTAAAGAGCCAGTTTAAAACTATCCAAAATAAACGGCACAAAAACGTTTTGTCGCTAGAGCCATGTTGGAATAATTTATCGACAACCGCAAAAACTGCAGTAAAGTACAATACCTGGCCGGCTTCT